TACTTCATGCATCAGATATAATAACAGAAGCACTGCATAAGCTAAAATGTTTGATAAACAGTAGTTTAAAATGTTATCAAGAAATAAGTTCTTCTTAAGATAAGAATGTTCTGGGCAAAAATACGCATTTAAAAAAATAAAAAGGCAGGGGGGGCAACTAAGGTTATTTAAAACCTGAGTTTAATTCAGTCCTAATTTAAAGCTAATTTGTAGCAATGATTTTGATATACTTTCATATATATATACATTTTTTTGCATTGCAGTAAATAATGAATACTAAAGTACATCAATATCTCTATTTTTTGCGTTTTTAATGCATTTTGTGCCGACTTCATTGTTCTGACTTTGTAACTTCCCCATGAGTACCCACTATTTTTTTTTCTGAAATCACTTTAATAAAGTCTACTAAATGAGTTGAAAAAAAGTATATCATGAAAATCAGTGTTGATCATAGATTACCAGTGGATTTAAGGGAAGGCACAATTTTGTAAGTTCTAGCCGGAGCCATTTTTAGGGGTCCATAATTTCTTACTGAATTGTATCATATCAGCAAATTTCTGAAAATTAGGAAGCCTACCATATATAGAAACTAAAAAGATATGTATTTTTACTTCTTAAATTGCTAGTTTTGTATATTGACCCATTAAAAATCAACTTTCTATATCTGCAAACAATTTTTTCGGTTTTTTAGGCAGCCATTATGGATAAAATGTGACATTTAAAAATTTATTGTCAAAGTTTTAACAAAGTAAGCCTAGCATTGTATATGATAAAAAAAACTAGAAGGTTTTCTGAAATTTAGTTTTTAAAATACAGAGCTTGAAAGTATGAACAAAACATATTTTTGCTACTGAAGTTTTTATTTTTGGAAAAATCAGAAATTTCAAATGGCCATATCTCATGAACCACATAAGATTTGAAGCTGAAATTTTCAGGAATTGCTTTTCTCATTGATATAAACCAACCCACTATGTTTCATCAAAATCTGAGGGGGTCCATGTTTGACCCTGGTTCACTTGGCATGGAATGACCCAATAAAAAAAAAAAGGAGGGTCTTAATAAGCTCAGTGAGTGGGGGAAATTAATAAGAATTTCTCTTCTGTGTATTAAGCACCTATTTAGTTGATAGCCCAAAATTGTTAAAATAAGATCAAAGTTGATAATTTACATTTGCATAATTAAACATAAAAATCAGTTCTTAAGTCACTAATAAACAAAATTATTACCTTACCTTGAAGTTAAATTCAATCTATCTTTCCTTAACTGTTAGTTAATGATCAATAAAGTAAATTTCAATTTATGAAAATTACAAAATTAAAACCATGTCTCAACAGTATCCAAACTAAAATAAAATTAAATTGGGAAAAATAGAGATAAAAATAATAAAAAATAAATAGTAAGATATTGAATATAATTTTAATTAAGGTATGATAAACACAAGTAGAGAAGAAATATATTATTATTAAAAAAAATTGAGAAAGATAATAAACTTTAAATTATTAGTAGGTCAAGGTTTGCTATTAAAGCAATTAAAAAGAAGAAGCACTACAGTGTTACAAAAAGAAAACTCTTAACAAGTTTAAAATGGAGTTTTGTAGTGGTACAATAACCGAGAATTAACTGTATCTAGCAAAAATTTGCTGCTAGATACAGTTAGATACAGTAGAGAAAGTCTTCGTTCAAAAATTCATTAAATCAAATTTGCTATATACTTACATAGACTTTAAATTAAACAATCCAATTAAAATATCCTGGTCATATTTAAAAAATCCTTAAAATTTTTTCTTAATAATATCCGGAAAAATATTTTAAAGGCATTTCTGTTAAAATCCGGGAGTAGAAATGCTTTTTGTGTATTTAAGAATATCTCATGAGCTGGAAAAGAAAATATTTGGCAGGCATTCCTAAAAAAAAAGAAAAGTATTTTAATACTCAATTAAATAGAGTTTAAAAATTAAATTAAACTAGATTTTTAGGTGAAATAGTAAAAATAATTAAAGTGAATTCTAAGTGCTGAGTGTTTACATAATTTGAATAATCCTTAAAAAACAAGTTTCCCATTTATATATTTATTCTTTTAAACACCCAATAATTACATAAACTATAGGTAAAAGTATTAAAAAAAAAAAAAAAACAAAGCACATTTAAGTATTTTCTTGCATCGTTCTTGGAATGTTTTCCTCCATCAGCGTTCTAAATACTTCTCTTTGTTCCTTTAAATTCCAGTGTTGGAACGATTGTTTTAAGATCGCCGCAACATTGGCCTCCAATGCTTCCTGAGGGCGTGCAATTATAATTTTCTTACCCTCGATCATAAATTGGAGCATGTTTATATCAGCTTTCTTACACATTATCATTACCTCACCCACAAATGATCGTTGATTCATTAAAGGCATCTGAGTCCGTATAATCGAGTAACATATGGGGTTGTTTAAAAGCCTGATAAATAGATTTAACTTGTTGCGAAAAAGAATGTCTGACACAGCGTCTACTTTGAAATAAGAATGTAGATAATTTCTACTTTGCTTTGAAATATTAAAGAAGGATTTTAAGACAGATCGTCCAGCTATATCAATGCTATTTAGAAACTTATTGCTGCTTCCACACAGTTCTAATCCGTATAACAACGTTGGAACAGCTAAAGAATTAAATAAATGAACTATGGTAGCAGGCTGGCAAAAGCGAAGTCCATTTCTTATAAGACCTTTTGCAACAGATAAAAATTGCGTTACACGTTCAGTTATATTTCGTTTTTGGAGTGTTGCTGTCATTTTTTTGTTCTTATTATCCCAAAGGAAACCAAGATGTTTTAGATTGTTTTGAGGCTTGATAGGATCACCGTTAATATAAATAACGTTAATTAAAATCGAACTTATTCCAGATATTAGAAATTCAGTTTTTTCTGTATTCAGTTTAATAAAGTTCGATAGTCCATACTTTTGAACAATGTTAATAAGGCTCTGAAGACCAGATATAGTGGAACTTTGTAAAACTATATCATCAGCATATGCAATGATACCTGTGTATACACCATTTATTGAAGTTCCAACTTTTGATTCTGAAACAATTTTCTCTAGAAGGTTCTCTGTGTAGATATTGTAGAGATGAGGCGACAGTATGGATCCTTGACGCACTCCCTGAGACAGCCTAAATTTGTTTGATGTACATCCAAGATATGATATATTAGAAGTTCCTGTTTGATATAGTGATAATATTGTATGAACTATAGATAATGGGATTTTTTTCTGGTAATAGAGTTTCTCGAATAGTAATTCCCAATTACAACTGTCAAAAGCTTTGTTGGCGTCTAGACTGCATATATATAGCGGTGAGTTATTATGATTATAGTGCTTTATTGTTTCACTCAGAAGAAATTCTGCGTGGAGGGTAGAGCTGTTTTCTTTAAAACCGAATTGATGGGAATGACTTTCTGTTATATCTGGACATATGTGTATGATAAGATATTCGAGAAGTTTTGTAAAAATTGGTATAATGCTGATTCCTCGATAGTTATTTGGATTTTCTAGTGATGTTTTATAAGACTTGACTAATGGGATAATTTTGGCGGTTGATAAACCGTGTGGAACCTTTCCATTTGTTAACATATTGTTATAAAACGACGAAAGTAAAATAAGAAGATTCTTGTTGTGAGAGTTTTTAAGATGTTCAGCACTGATTTCATAGCAATCGTAAGATTTATTATTTTTAAGCTTTAAAATACATTTTTCAATATCAGCTGTCGAGATAACTTTTGAATTAGGCTCTTTACTTAAATGTGGAATTTGGAGAGGATTGAACTCGTTATTTGTATATTGCGGTGTATTAAGTAGTTTTTGGAAATGATGACTAAATTCTTCGACGATTTCGTTTTTGTTCTGCAATTTATTAATTGTAAAGAGTCGATTGTTAGTATTTTTTTTGATTTTTCGAATATTACCCCAAAACCTTTGAGGATTTGTATTGCGTAAGTGTTCCATATTTTTAGTTTTTTCGTGAATTTTTTTGTTATGTGCCGCTTTTACAGCTTTACGAAAGTTTTTTCGGGAATAAATAAATCTTTTGTAGGATATACATTCTGTTGACTTATTATAGCCTGATTTTTGCCATTGTCTAAAGTGAAAGGAGAGATTATCTTTAATTTTTTTAAGCTCAGGTGTCCACCAAGGTTTCGAGTACTTATAAAACGTTTAAGTAATTATAAAACATTTAAACGTTCTAAAAAAAAAGTATTAACTAATATTAAACCCTATTTCTTGTTATCGGCGGTAAGTTCCAGATTTTTATTTTTAAATAAATACTGGTGTGATAAATGCTTTTGTACTCAATAAATGACCTCAAACAAAAAAGCTCTTTCAAACTTCCACTTGAGTTATAAACATTATGTTTGATTTTTCCCTTTTGCAAATAATTTTTATGTAGATCAATGCTTTTATATATAACCATTTATAAAACATATAATAGCTGAATAAAAATAACAATAATCTTTAAAAGTATAACTTAAATTTGATTTATTTAAATATATATATATATATATATATATATATATATATATATATATATATATATATATATATATATATATATATATATATATATATATATTAGTCAAGGCCAATTCTAGGAAAAAAAGGTGGTGGTACCCCCTCATTCGGGCAAACTTTGGAATAAAGCAAATAAATTTGATTTCAAGGTAAATGAAAACAAAATATTTTAATGGAATAAAAATAAAACAAAGTAGAAAAGCAGTACTCTTTGTTTAATTACAATTTTTATTTTTTATTGATTTTTATTCTTATGGTCATGTAATTTCACTGCTCTATCACATTAAATATCAGGAATTATCTTTTTCCGGATATTTCGTGAATTCCGAATATTTCTATAAATTATTTTTTTTCTTCTAGATATTCAAATAGTTTCCTGGAAATACAAGTTAAAAATATTTTTTTTTGTCATCAATTAATTAAAACAGTAAAAGTATCGCCAATTACTTTGTGCTATATTTTACTTTTTTTACAAAAAATAATAAGTTTATATTAAACTATCAACCGGAAGCATAATGGCAAAACGCTTTTATGTTATTATCACAATAAATAAATTAATTTGGTAATTTTAATTAAAAAAAAACTTATTTTATAATTTAAATTATTCAGCTTTACGCATATATATTTTTTTATAGCTATTTTGCTAAAAATTTATTCACGTAAAGCTGAGCAATTGCTCTAATTATTTGTACAAATAATTAAAAAAAGCATAAAATAATTGATGAATGATACTTTTATTGTTTTAATTAATTGATGACAAAAAAAAATATTTTTAACTTATATTTCCAGAAAACTATTTGGATATCTGCAAAAAAATAACAATTGATAGAAATATCCTGAATTCCAAAAACATCCCAAAAAAGATAGTTCCTGATATTTAAAGTGACAGAGCAGTGAGCATATACATATACCTTAAAAAAATTTATGTATCAAAATTAAGGAATAAAATATACAGCGCTCAAACACCTAAAAATACTCAAGGTTTCAAAATTATGATTATTTCTCCTTGTTGCTAATCGTACTGAGAACACTCATTGGGGTTAATTAAATTAATAGTTCAACCCATTTAAAAGCCATTTTGTTTTTAATGTTTATCTCACTTAATACCAATGTCCTCTCTTTACAAAAAAATTGTTTGTTATATTTAGTATATTTATTTTAGCATTTAAAAATACAACTTGTGACTCTTTTCAACAATTAAAGATTGTTAAACAAAATGTTATAATAATAAAAAAAAGCAACATGTGACTTTTGTCAATAATTAGCAAAGCTAACTATTGATAAATATTGATGCACATTAAAATCACAACATCTGTCCTAGCTCAAGATAAGCTCATACATAATCGCTATACTTCCGGTTTGAAAAAACTCTTCTTCCGTAGCGAGTGAACTGAACAGGCAGTAAATCTGTTTCAAAATCTGCTGGATAGTTTTGATTAGCGCTGTCCATACTTGTCAGCTTTGCCTTCATTCAGAAAATTTATTTGAAAATTCAGACCTTCATAGGCAGCATGTTTTAAGTTTGTTTCTGGAAGTTTAAATAGTGTCAGATTGTAATCATTATCAGCTGTTAAATTTCTTCTTCTTTTGTTTATATGACGAAGCTGCAGATGAGAAAAATGTTGTGGCAATGTATGTCTGTTGACTTCAACTTCAGCTGTTAAACCTTTATGCAGTGCAACTAGACATCTTTTCAACCATTGTGTACATGGCGCCATATGCTTGGGTCTCATCCACACTTTATTGCCAACTTTCATCTTTGAAACTTAGTCAAAGACCTTTGTGTTGATTCGAATTTATTGATTCCATTTGAACGTGCAAAAAAAAAATGTGCCAGGTTATGATGGAATGTTGTTGATTAAGAATACAGACACGGAAATACCACATTTTGCTCTCGCATTTGTTCTTTATACCACCTGATAAACTCTTTCAACAATTCCATTTCCCAATGGTTTTCAGCAGCTCGAAAAATAAGTCTTACTTTTCATTTCAACGCCATAGCTTGCATAATCAGAGATCTAAATGACTTAAAATTATCTAGAAGAATTTCAGAGAGAGGTCTAAGCAATGACCAAATTGTTTTCAACGATTGTACAACCATTGCTGCACTTTCGTTGCTTGATGATGTCCATGACGTATATCTGCTTGGGCCACAATCAATACAGGTAAGATATAGCAATCAATCAACATGAGTAACATTGCAGGCTACTTTTGTGTTGCAACTTTGTTTTTTCTATTTTGTGCAATATTTTATGTTTTCGATACCCATGTAATATTTATATTTAAGGCATAATCCTTGACCAATTTTCCAAATATTTGAAGCATTCGTCGAATTAATATTTCAAATTGGCTAGCATTTTTTATTGGTTTGTCGCAAGTTAGTTAGGAATTTAATCAACTATGAGAATCAGTTATAATAGAGACTTACTTTGGTTCCATTTCAATGCCATATCAAGTCCCTCAATACATGAATCCAATTCAGCTACTTCGATATGCATTGCATCAGATTTTTGTTGGAGCCATGTCGCATATTCTATTTTCTGTCAGCTTGAATTATCACAACTCTTTGGGCCATCAAGCTTACATCACACCATACAGTTAGAGATGCATTTGGTTTAACATTCGATACACCTTTTGCCTGATTGCATTTTTTAACTTTTTCTACAACTTCCTGCATGTATTTAATAACATACTTATTCATAATAGATTCTCAACTGCTTTGTACATCTCGTTACAAAGCTGCAGGTGTATCTTAACTACCCAGCAACTGGTAGATTAGCAACCAGGTTACCACAAAACAAGAATATATCCCTCTTGGTGAGCATACTTTTAATAATGGGAAATTCACGCCTGCTCTTCCAAAACATTTCTTTTATTGATGGATTTACTAAGACTTCAAATCATAATGCACTAACTGGGTTTTTGCCAAAATAATCAGGTGTTTTGGTGTGAAGGCCCCATTTCTTGCCATGTGCGGCCAGCTTTTTTCCATTCACATTGATTGCTTAAGTGTCATTAAAGCATCCTCTTGATGATTTTGCAAGTGCAGAATTTGGTTAGAGAACATATCACAGTATTGAGCATATCATCACTGGTGTTAAGTTTAAACCAAAGCCCAAATGTGTACATATCAAGCCTTACCAGGAAATGAATGTGATTTTTTGTCTTGTATGACAATATATGCAGGCTTGGTTGGGAAGCAGGTGCGATCGCACTCTATAATTGACCACGGAAATAATATTTAGTTGTAAAAAATTGGCCAGATTTTTTAGTCGTTTTGAAGTCTCTTGGCTCTAGAGACTTCTGGAAATTTTTCAACAGTATCATTAACAATAATAAGTTAAGTATTCCTATATAACAATAAAACATCCCATCTCTAATTCATGGGTCTAATCTAATTACCACTCTTAAGGATAAAGCAGAACTATTTAAATTGAATTTTTCTTTTAATTTGACTCTTGACTCTAAAGACCATACTCTTCCTTCCATTCTAGTTAAAAAGATTAACTCTGTATTAGATATCCAAATCATTCCGGCTACCATTGCAATACTCATTTCTCAATAAAACTCTTATATGGCTTGTGGTCCAGACAACAATATTACAGTCTTACCTAAGTCTTATCCAGAAATCTTTTTAATTCTCTCTAAACAATTCAATAAGAGCTTGATTTAATCTTGTTTCCTTGACTGCTGGAAAACAGCACTTGTGGTTTTAATTTATAAAAACTCTGGAGAACACTCTGACCCCTCTTATTATTGCCAGATCAGTCTCCTGGTTCTTTTATTTCTAAACTTCTTTTTATTATTAGCAAGGTTATTAACCAAGTTCTTTGATCAACAATTTCCCACCTCAGTCCTCCAAATTAGGGTCAGCATTTATTTTTCAGAGGTTTTAAGCAAACGTTGAACAGTTTTTGGTTTTTTTTTATCTTTCCTAATTTGGAGGGCTGCTATCTTGCGTCTAAAGCACTCTGAAAACCAACATAGTTTTTGTTCTTCTCGTTATATGGCTGACTTACTAATTGCTGTGACTGTAAATTCTATTATGCATTAGATGGTGACAGCAAGGCAAGGGCTATTGCACTTGACATATCTAAAGTATTCAATAAAGTTTCGCATACTGGTTTTCTCCTTTAGGTTGCTTTATATTGTGTATTTGGTAAATGAGATGTATTTTAAATTTTTATAGACGGCATGTCTCTTTTATGAAGCCTTTAGTTCAGCATTTATACCAGCAGTATAAAACAAAAGGTTTACATATCATACCTGCAACTATAAGTAGTGATCATTCAGGTCATATTTTTAAGAAATATATGGTAAAAATACATAAATATAAATGCATTTTGTGTAAATAGTAAAATATATATAAATAATAAAATATTATAAATAAGAATATCTCATTTGTTTAAAAATATTTTTATTGATATGTTAGCTTTATTTAACAAAAACTAGTTGAAAAAAAAATTTGATTTAAAAAAAACGTTTTTATAAAAATGTAATATGTGATATACTTAAAATGAGTACTGCAAAGTAAAAAGAAAATTATACGAGTTATTAAAAATTTTTTAATTATTTAAATTTTATTTTAGGCAATTTGCTGAGGTAACGCTCTTGGTGTTGTCGCACAAAAGAGTCGCAGCTGAAAAGTTTCAGGTTTGAACTTTTATAAGGAAACTTTATTTTAATTTTAAAATTTTATTACAAAGTAATAAAACTTTAAAACTAAGTTAACTTTATACTTTTAGCTATAATTTTTGTTTATTTATAGTGTTTATTCATTATTTTAACTTTTTAAAAGTTTCATAGAATAAGTTCATCAATCCACACATAAATTGACTGATATAAATGTAGTTGCAGAGAGTTGTAATAAAATATTACATCCGCCTAAAATATTACATCCCCCATAGAATAAATGAAAACGAGAACGCGCTTTCGAGTCATTGCACTTAGAAGTGTATCAAATACGTCCGAAACATTCAATTATAAACAATATAATTAAAACGAGATTCATAAAAACGTTTTTTTACTAATATACTATAAATGAAGTTAGCATAAAATGGTAATATATTTTAAATTCTTATTTATAATATTTTGATCGTAATGTATTTTGTGACAATAGCGTAGAAGAAGATTACACATTAGGGATACTTTATGCAATAAAAATAACAATCGTTTGCAATATTTTAGAAGCCTGCATAGGGGGGATGTGATATTTTAAGCAAGAATTCTAGTTTCTTTTTGTGACATATACAGAAATAACAAGTGGTGGATGTTATATTCTATATACCAAATACTAATTGTTTAAAATACTTTATAAACTACTTAAAGGGATGTAATATTTTAGAAGTAGACATCGGGGGGATGTTATATTTTAAGTAAGAATAGGGGATGTAATATTTTAAAGGTAAAAATTATTAGTATAAAAGTATTGTAATACTTTAGGGGATGTAATATTTTAAAGGTAAACTTAGAAGGGATGGGACTTTTAGTAAGAATTTCAGTTTCTTTTTGTGACATATATAGCAAATAAACCGAGGGGATGTGATATTCTAGATACTAAATTCTAATGGTTTGAAATATTGTATGAATTACTTATGGGATGTATTACTTCAAAGGTAAACATAGAGGGGATATGACATTTTAAGTAAGAATTTAAGTTTCTTTTTGTGGTATATACAGAACTTACAAGTGATGGATGTGATATTCTAGGTACCAAATACCAATCGTTTGAAATATTGTATGAATTATTTAGGGGGATGTAATATTTTAGAAGTATACGTAGGGGGGATGTGATATTTTAAGTAAGAAGTTCAGTTTCTTTTTGTGACATATACATAGAATCTACAGGGGGATGTGATATTCTAGGTATCAAATACTAATCAATTGAAATATTGTATGAAATACTTAGGGGGATGTAATATTTTAAAAGTATACATAGGGGTGATGTGATATTTTAAGTAAGAAGTTCAGTTTTTTTTTTGTGACATATACAGTGAATAAACCAAGGAGATGTGATATTCTAGATACCAATTACTAATCGTTTGAAATATTGTATGAATTACTTAGGGGGACCTAATATTTTAAAGGTAAACATAGAGGGGATGTGATATTTTAAATAGCAAATATTAATTGTTTAAAATATTGTATGAATTACTTAGGGGATGTAATATTTTAAAGGTAAACATAGAAGGGATGTGATGTTTTAAATAAGAATTTCAATTTCTTTTTGTGACATATGCAGAGATTCCACAGGGGAGATGTAATATTTTAAATATCAAATATGAATTGCTTGAAATATTGTAGAAAAATAATTAGGGGGATCTAATATTTTAGAAGTATACATAGGGGAGATGTGATATTTTAAGTAAGAATTTAAGTTTCTTTTTGTGGTACAAACATAATTTACAAGTGTTGAATGTGATATTCAAGATAGCAGTTACTACTTATTTGAAAAATTTTATGAATTACTTAGGGGGATGTAATATTTTGAAGATAAACATGGAGGGCATGTGATGTTATAAGAATTTAAGTTTCTTTTTGTGGTATTTCCAGAACTTTTAAATGAAATATTTTATTATTGTAAAAAATTACTTTTTTTTTTAATGAAATATTGTAATATTGTAAAGAAGTACTTTGGGAGATGTAATATTTTAGAAGTAGACATAGTTGAGATGTGATATTTTAAGAAAGAATTTCAGTTTCTTTATGATATTTATACAGAAATTACAAGTGATGGATGTTATAGTCTAGTTACCGAATACTTATTGTTTGAATTATTTTATGAATTACTTAGTGGGATGTAATATTTTAGACGCCTGAATAGGGTGGATGTGTAATTTAAGTAAGAATTTCAGTTTTATTTTGTGACATTTATAGAGAATAAATTGGGGGAATGTGATATTCTAGGTACTAAATACTAATCATTGATTAGTATTTGATACCTAATGAAATATTGTAAAGAATTACTTAGGGGGATGTAATATTTTAAAAGTATACAAAGGGGGGATGTGATATTTTATGTAAAAATTTTAGTTTCTTTATGTGATACATACAGAATTTTTAAGTGAGGAATCTGATATTTAAAACACAAAATACTAATCGTTTGAAATATTGTAAAGAATTCCTTAGTGGGATAATAATAATATTTTAGACGCCTGTATAGGGTTGATGTGTAATTTAAGTAAGATATGTATCTCAAATATTGTTAGCTATTTTTTGTTTCTTGGGTCCTCCTCCTTATGACAAAATAGGGGAGATCTTTATAATAAATTTATATATTTTATTAAAGAATTAAAAAAAAATTAAAGAACTTTTAATAAAATCAAGAAACTTTAATATTTAAAGTGTTTTTTAGCTTTTTAAAGTTTTAATTTAATATTTTATTTTTTTTTAGATACGATTGAGCTAACAATTTAAACATGCGACATTGTTCAACGAAGTCATATATAAAACTTTGGTGGAATTAAAGTTTTCATAAGATTTAAAATGAACAAAATTAATTACAATAATTTTTTACTCTAAATGTATTCATATCTTACAATATAAATATTTTAATGTACAAAACGTTTTGAAGGAAAATAAATAATTACGGTTTCTCTTTTTTCATTCTATTGCATAATTTTAAAATTTTTCTCCATTACGTCCACCTATGGTGGCTTAGGCGTAATGTTTTGGGAAGGTTATAACTTCTTTAGATACTTTTTTTGAATAATAGAAACTTCTTTTCTTAAAAAAGGAACATTTTAAAGAACTATTTTTAAATATTAACGTTTCTTTGGGTGGCTTGGTATGGAAATATAATGTGATTATTGAGCCTGTTGAGGCGAGTTAATAATATTTAGTCCAGTTCACAATTATTAAAATTATACAAATTTTTAAAAGTGGCAGTTAAAAAATTAACTTATATTTATTACAATAAATTATAAAATCATGTATTTCATGTATTAGAATCATCCAATATCATACTGAACTGAAATGATAAAGAATAATGTACTGTAAAAGACAAAGTACATAAACGGTTTGTTGTGTATATATATATATATATATATATATATATATATATATATATATATATATATATATATATATATATATATATATATTCTATCAAATGTTAACACAACATTTTTGTAAAAAAAAAAATTTTGAAAAAAAATACTATTGAGCAAGTATCATTCTTCCACACTAAGAATATTCTGCTTTTGTTAGGTTTTCCTATTTTCTTAATGACACAAATGCTAAAGTGCAGGATTGTTCGAAGAAGATTTCACTAAGAAATAATAATAATCCTTATAATGACAGATTTATAGCGTTGAATTCAACAAGTTTGAAAAAAAGACGAAAGCGTAGTGGCTTAATTTAAATGATTGAATTAGGTAACAAAACTGACTATGTTAATTGTTATAATAAAGATTGATTAAATTTTTATTCAACGAGTCCGGTGCCAACGCGTAGCCATAATAAACATAACAAAAAATCTGCACAAAATTGTCCTTATTTATAATTTTTTTTTTAAATTTGTTATTTAGGTACCCTAAGAAGTCCTAACGGTCTTGTCACAGAGCACCGCGGAAGTGCATTTATCCAGGAAGTTCACGCCTCCTTCCTTAGCATGACGCGAAATATGTCCAAAGCTCGTTTTGAACCTGGATCTCCTGCTTATAAAGCATATGATCTAACCACTGCGCCACGGCCGCACAATATTTGGCATAACTTTTTTGTGAATCAAGAAGCTCGTTTTGATCAGTTTAGAAAATTAAAAGGTTTAAAGAAAGATAAGCGCTAGAAAAAGAATGAGCTAAAACAAAGTGAAGTTACATTATATTTTTAAATATATTAGTTGAGGTTGAGAGTTTATGTTCACTTATTTTAGTTTAAAAGACATCTTTGTCAGACACTTGTCTCAGAAAGCCATAGCTATTCAAAGGCGTCTAAATTTTATTACGCCTAATACAGGTCTTTAAACGTCTTTAAAAAACGCTGAGAAGAGAAATGTTTTTTTAAATATTGTTACTCTGTAGAAGTTACTGGTATATCTGTTACTTCAATAAAGTTTTCATTCTATTTATAAAATATTTTATTTTTTCTTCAAACCTAATATTTGTTTAACTTTCTACAGGTAATACTAATATGAAAACAATTTTTATTGTTTTTTGATTTATACTCGGGTAAAACATTCGTTTTCTTATTTTAATTTATTGTTAAAACATATATTTTTTCATTATTTTATTTTATGGTTATTTTCAAGAGAAGGCAGAGACACCATCATAAAGCTTTGAAGTTAATGGTAGTGAAGGTATGAATTAAAAACTTACTTATTCATTTGTAATTGTTAGCGTTTTATTTTATTTATAATTTATTTTCTAGAGGAGGCAGATAATTGTAAAAATCTTTGCAGCTAAAGACAGTGTAGGTATATAATAATAAATCACTTTTACATTTTTTTAGCGTTACCTTTTTATTGTAATAAAGATTTTTATGTAAACCTATTTAAATAATCAATTTAAACATTATCCAACCTGGTGAAAAAATGTGTAGAGTTTTAAAACATGCAATCTTCAATAAATGTAATAGTCGTTATTTTATTAGAAGAAAGGCTTATGCTTAAATTTTGATGAAATTATCCTTAAATTGCATTTCATGAATAGGTTACGGAATAATAAAATGTATCCATATTAAAAAACCCTGTAAAAGTCATTCTGGGTATACATCCAGATTTAGGTGACTGCAAGGTACACGATTATTCGTTACAAGACACTTTAAACGAATGTCTCAGTGACGAAGTTGTTAATATTTATCTCAAAATATTAGTAAACAGTAAAGAAAAAGTATGATTAATTAATGTACTTTATAATAAAATTATTGTACAAAAAAACAATAACGCATTTTTTTTTTAAATTTGTCTTTATTTAAATAAAATTTTAATTCTAAATATAAAACAATATATTGAATGCCATTCCATTTATTGATGCTTTGAAGAATCGAGTCGAAGTACTGTAGCCAGCTGGGCTACGCTCACTGGATGAATTGCAAATTAAAACTGATTTAATACAAAGACGGCATAAGGTATTCAAAAACTTAATCTAAAAAAATTAATGATTTATTAATTTAATTATAGAGTATATATATATATATATATTTATACATATATATATATATATATATATATATATATATATATATATATATATATATATATATATATATATATTTATATATACATATATATATATATGTATATATACATATATATATATATATATATATATATATATATATATATATATATATATATATATATATATATATATATATATATATATATATATATATATATATATATATACATATATACATATCTTCATAGAAAGAGCTCTTTAAACAAGATATGCTAATATGCTGTATGGTGGAAAAATGCAGTGTGTAAAATAGTATAACTGTTTTTTGAAAAAGTTTATTTCTCTAAGTACAAAAAGTTTAACTTTCAGTGAAAGGTTAGGTTCCACATTTTTTTACAGGGAACCTAACTTTGAACCTGATTTTGAAACTCACTTGTGTTTTAGATAATCAAACCAGGTAATAAAACAATTCACTCTATGGATCCTATGGGAGAACAGATAAATTCCATCAAAAAAGAAGAAGTGAAATGGAAGTATGATATTATTATTAGATATTCCTATGTCAAAATTTGTATTTACATCTTTTATAATTTTTTACTATTATACAGTAGTTGTTGTACATACAGTAGTAGTAGAGAGACATAGGAGGTTTGTGAGATTCTTTAGAGAACTGAAAATGTTTATACTACTTCAATGTTAAATAATATCTCAAAAAAAGACAAAAAAAAAATGATGAAAAATTAAATCAATAGCTCAGAAAGGTTGGCAGAATAGTTTGTGACGCATTTGTGGAAGCGAAATTGGTCAAAAAACTAGAAAAAATCAAAAAAAAGTTAAATGGGTAATAAAATATATTTTAATTGTTTTTTTGGGTATATAATGTGTAATAAAATATAATTTTTTTTGGGTATATGATGGGTAATAAAATAAATTTTAATTATTTCAAATAGAATAAAATACTTTAAATATTCAAATACAAAAATGTACATTAAATATTTATTTTTAGATCAAATGTGTTATTTGCATCCAAATCGATGGTACCGTATAAAATGCATTGTTTTTAAAAATGAAACTTTATTTTGTTGTGAACATATTTATATATAAATGTAATAATAAATAAAACTTTAAAAATTGCAGTCATTTCTTTTTCTTCAAAGTTTTGTCATAAATTGAACCAATTTAAATGTTTATGCCCATACAGATAAAAACACAAAAAGGTGAAATTTTTTTTCTCCCTTTTTTTAGTGACTTCTTGTATTGTTATAATACTTTAAATTGTCGGAAGCCTTCATAATTCTGCCAATTCATATGTCGGCATACATATTATTTTGTGTAAATTTATATGTTGGCATACATATGAATTGATTGAACAATAATACATTTTTAACTTGTTAGCTCAATTAAATCTGAAAAAAAAAATTAAAATAGACTGTTTGAGTAATCTCTGCACATTTTGCAAATAACAGCTAAAATTCTAAATTAAAATATCAAATCTCCCTATGCAGGCTTCTAAAATATTCCCCAATATCACATCCCCCCTATGTATATCTTTAAAATACTACATCCCCTAAGTAATTCATAAAATTTTTCAAATGAGTAGTAAATGCTATCTTGAATATCACATTCATCACTTGCAAATTTCGTTTGTACCACAAAAAGAAACTAAAATTCTTACTTAAAATATCACATCCCCCCTATGTATACTTCTAAAATATTAGATCCCCCTAAGTACTTTTCTACAATATTTCAAGCAATTCATATTTGGTATTTAAAATATCACATCTACCCTGTGGAATCTCTGCATATGTCACAAAAAGAAACTGAAATTCTTACTTAAAACATCACATCCCCTATGTTTACCTTTAAAATATTACATTCCCCTAAGTAATTCATACAATATTTCAAACAATTAATATTTGCTATTTAAAATATCACATCCCCTCTATGTTTACCTTTAAAATATTAGGTCCCCCTAAGTAATTCATACAATATTTCAATTGATTAGTATTTGATACCTAGAATATCACATCCCCCTGTAGATTCTATGTATATGTCACAAAAAGAAACTGAACTTCTTACTTAAAATATCACATCCCTTATGTATACTTTTAAAATATTACATCCCCCTAAGTAATTCATAATATATTTCAATTGATTAGTCTTTGATACCTAGAATATCACATCCCCCTGTAGATTCTATGTATATGTCACAAAAAGAAACTGAAATTCTTACTTAAAATATCACATCCCCTCTATGTTTACCGTTAAAATATTACATCCCCCTAAGTAATTCATACAATATTTCAAACGATTAGTATTTGGTATCTAGAATATCACATCCCCTCGGTTTATTCATTGTATATGTCACAAAAAGAAACTGAAATTCTTACTTAAAATATAACATCCCCCCGATGTCTACTTCTAAAATATTACATCCCCCTAAGTAGTTTATAAAGTATTTTAAACAATTAGTATTTGGTATATAGAATATCACATCCCCTCGGTTTATTCATTGTATATGTCACAAAAAAAAACTGAACTTCTTACTTAAAATATCACATCACCCCTATGTATACTTTTAAAATATTACATCCCCTAAGTAATTCATACAATATTTTAAACAATTAATATTTGCTATTTAAAATATCACATCCCCTCTATGTTTACCTTTAAAATATTAGGTCACCCTAAGTAATTCATACAATATTTCAAACGATTAGTAATTGGTATCTAGAATATCACATCTCCTCGGTTTATTCACTGTATATGTCACAAAAAAAAACTGAACTTCTTACTTAAAATATCACATCACCCCTATGTATACTTTTAAAATATTACATCCCCCTAAGTAATTCATACAATATTTCAACTAATTAGTATTTGATACCTAGAATATCACATCCCCCTGTAGATTCTATGTATATGTCACAAAAAGAAACTGAACTTCTTACTTAAAATATCACATCCCCCCTACGTATACTTCTAAAATATTACATCCCCCTAAATAATTCATACAATATTTCAAACGATTGGTATTTGGTACCTAGAATATCACATCCATCACTTGTAAGTTCTGTATGTACCACAAAAAGAAACTTAAATTCTTACTTAAAATGTCATATCCCCTCTATGTTTACCTTTGAAGTAATACATCCCATAAGTAATTCATACAATATTTCAAACCATTAGAATTTAGTATCTAGAATATCACATCCCCTCGGTTTATTTGCTATATATGTCACAAAAAGAAACTGAAATTCAAACAAGAAACTGAAATTACATCCCTTCTAAGTTTACCTTTAAAATATTACATCCCCTAAAGTATTACAATACTTTTATACTAATAATTTTTACCTTTAAAATACTACATCCCCTAAAGTATCATACAATAATTCAAACAATTAGTAATTGGTATCTAGAATATCACATCTCCTCGGTTTATTCACTGTATATGTCACAAAAAGAAACTTTAAATCTTTACTTAAAATATCACATCCCCCCTATGTTTATCTCTAAAATATTACATCCCCCTAAGTAATTCATAAAACATTTCAAATGGTTAGTATTTAGTGTTTAAAATATAAGATTTATCACTTGTAAATTCTGTATGCACCACAAAAAGAAACTGAAATTCTTACTTAAAATATCACATCCCCTCTGTGTTAAACTTTAAAATATTACATCCCCCTAAGTAATTCATACAATATTTCAAACGATTAGTATTTGGTATCTAGAATATCACATCCCCTCGGTTTATTCACTGTATATGTCACAAAAAGAAACTGAAATTCTTACTTAAAATATAACATCCCCCCGATGTCTACTTCTAAAATATTACATCCCCCTAAGTAGTTTATAAAGTATTTTAAACAATTAGTATTTGGTATATAGAATATAACATCCACCACTTGTTATTTCTGTATATGTCACAAAAAGAAACTAGAATTCTTGCTTAAAATATCACATCCCCCTATGCAGGCTTCTAAAATATTGCAAACGATTGTTATTTTTATTGCATAAAGTATCCCTAATGTGTAATCTTCTTCTACGCTATTGTCACACAATACATTACGATCAAAATATTATAAATAAGAATTTAAAATATATTACCATTTTATGCTAACTTCATTTATAGTATATTAGTAAAAAAACGTTTTTATGAATCTCGTTTTAATTATATTGTTTATAATTGAATGTTTCGGACGTATTTGATACACTTCTAAGTGCAATGACTCGAAAGCGCGTTCTCGTTTTCATTTTTTCTATGGGGGATGTAATATTTTAGGCGGATGTGATATTTTATTACAGTTCGCTGTTACCGAAAAAAAATCATAAAAACAGAAATTAGGTACCAAAAGTGCTGCACTTAGTTAAATATCGCTCCCTTTTTTTGGCTAAAATTTGGCAGGTAAAAAGAAAATACATGTAGAAAGTAGAATAAATAATAAAAAAAGCGGGCTCAACATTTCTTAGATACGAAATTAATGTGAGAACATCGACTAAATTTTCATGGAAAATTTTCAGCAAAAAAACTCATAAAAAAGTTAGGCAACCATACTTAAAAATCATATAATAATCAAGTTTCCCCTTTCTTCTTTCAAAAAATATCCTATGTTTATACGTGTTTCTAAAAAGAAATACCTCAAAAAAACGTTTGCCTAAAGCTACCTAAAAAAAGTGGTATATATAGAATAAAACATAGTAAACTATCTGCTCCCTTTTTTTTTTGGTGAAAATTGGCATATGCTTAGAAAATGCATGTAGAAAGATAAATCAATAATAAAAAAAGCGGGCTCAACATTTCTTCTACTATAAATTAATATGAAAACTTATACTAAACTTTTATGACCATAACAAACCGTGAAAAATTAGTAATTATACATTAAAAGCCACATAAAAATCAAGATTAACCCTTTTTCTTTCAAAAAAATATCTATGTTTATATACAATGAATACATTGTTTATATACATGTTTCTAAAAAGAAACACCACAAAAAAACGTTTGTCTGACGCTACCTAAAAAAAAGTGAAAAAAACGTGGAACAAAATTTAAGCACAAAAATCGGCTCCGTAAAACGCGATTTCGGCGTACCTATAAAAATAATACAAAAAATATTGTGTTATATTTGAAACAAAGTCATCTTGTGTAATGTTACATTTCTCAAATATAAAATGCACAACAATTTCATATATTATTAAATTTGAAATTAAAGACTACTTTATATATTAAAGTTATGTGTAAAACAGTAATATTAAATATGATAATATAATTTTATATCATGTACAAGAAACTTTAATTATATAAATAATGAAAATTCTAGTGTTTGTTCAGCAGTAATATTAAAGATGCTAATATAATTCTCAAAACTTACCATCGTAATCCTTTTATAATTCAATTTTAACCTTTAGCAACGATTCTGTGAAAAGTCGATATAAACAAATTGCAACGTGGTCTGCTGGTAAATATTTGCGTAAATAGAACATATATGAAAGGCATATATGTTTTATATTAGGCAAGTTAAAATATATCCGGTTAACGAGAAACAATTCTCACTTTTCAAAGGATCTCACTTCTGCTGTAGCAGAAGTGAGATCCTTTTCAAGATCAAATGCCCCCTCCAAGTAATCAGAGAGAGTTGACTTGTTATCAGGACAAGAATAAATGGTAGTATCATCAGTGAACAATGTCACTATAGGTGTGAGAATATCTGGAAGATTGTTAATGTAAATTAAAAAAAGAGTATAGGGCCAAGGATTAAACCTTGAGGAACCCCTGAGGTTGCAGAATAAGGATTGAACCTTGAGGAACACCTGAGGTTACAGAATAATAAGAATGCTGTCCATCAAGGACAACTTTTATACTACGATTGGAAAGGAAGGATTCAATAATCTTAAAGATGTTACCAGATAGACTGTAAGAAAAAAGCTTATGGAGAAGACCAACATGCCAAACTTTATCAAACGCTTTAGAAATGCCAAGAGCAATAGCCTTAACCTCTCCACCCTTATCTAATGCATGATAAAATCTATCGGTTATTACTGTCAGCAAATCAACGGTAGAATGAGAAGATCGAAATCCATATTGATGATCAGAAAGTAAGTTATTAGATTCAAGATGAGAGATTAAGTGTTTGTTAATTAAAGATTCAAAAACCTTGCTTATGATAGGAAGAAGACTGATGGGACGGTAGTTAGACAAATCAGATCACTCTTCAGAATTTTTAAAAATAGGGATAGCAGATGCTGCTCTCCAGCAGGCTGGAAAACAAGACTCTGATAAGCACATGTTGAATAGTTTTGAAAGGATAGACGACAGCTCTGGAAAACAATTCTGCAAGACTATAACAGGAATGTTGTCCAGGCCACAAGCTGTAGAAGAGTTTCAGCAGGAAATCACTTTAGATACAGAAGTTGGAGTGATACAGATGTCAAGCAATGGATCAACCTGTTTGACAGCTATATCAGGTAGAACGCAACTAGTGGAATCAAGAGATGATTTTGATGAAAAGTTCTTAGCAAACAATTCAGCTTTGTCTTTAGGTGAGGTGACAAAGTGTGAACATACAAGAAAGGTGGAGTTACAGACTTGCCCTTATTATTGATACTATTAAAGATTCTCCAGAAGTCACGAAAGCCTAATTTTTGTGATAAAATACGAGATTTCATGACCTGAGAATAGCGGGCTTTGGCGTTAAACAAAACCTTTTTACAATGGTTCTTAGCAGTAACAAACAGACGTCTATTTTCTGGAAAATTGTTTTGCTGATAAATATGGAAGTAATGGTTTTGATTGGCAATTGCAGCAGCACAATGTGAGGAATATCATGGAGAAGAGTGAGGTTTGATCTGGAATTGTTGAGAGGGAATAAAGGATTCCATGCTTGTATCCACGAAGTTATGTAAGAAGCACATTTGTCAACAGGGCTACACAAAGAAAATCACGGAAAGAGTCCAAGTCAGCTTTAAGGTAGTTGTAAAATGTACAATGATAGGGGGATTCTGATGATAAAGAAGAATGAGATAATAGTTTTAAAGAGATAAACTGTGATCAGAGGCACCTAAGGGTGATTGTGGAGAAACTAAGCACTGACTAGAATCAGAAACAAGACATAAGTCGAGTAGAGAAGGTAAATGATTCAGGTTGTCTGGGAAGCGAGTTGGAAAGTTGAATAATTGATTTAGGGATTGAGAAAGGCAGTTATTAATTTTTGAGAAAGGCAATTATTAATTTAAAAGTTAAATACTATTATAAAGTTTTTTCTTTTTGTTCTTATTTTAATTTTTATTTATTTTATTATTAATTTTGTCAATATCACTGGGTAACAAAATAAAACTTTTTTAGATTCAATTAGCAGCATCAGTTTTTTCTAGATCAGATTTTTGAGCTAATTAAGAAAATGGAATCCATTTTAATCCCACACATCAAGATTTTTTTGAAATTTTAAATTTTTATTTTTCATCTTAAATCAGTTTGAAGTTATAGTTTTTGCATACTTTCAATTTAAACATTCTTTTTTTAAATAGTGTAAATGTAAGTTTATATTTCTATTCAATTTACAGTAAAAAATAAAGTAAAAAAATAGATACCATTTGTATTTTATTGCAGGATGTCTTAAATCTGCAGACGATATTGTATAAATAGTTCAAAGACTTTCTGTTACACTTGTGATCATTATGTCACTAAAAGACAGAAGAGAAAAATGAAATCAAAATGCTTATGACTTCTATTTTGGATATATGGTGGGAAATCATGGCAAAAAATGGGCGCCTCTGTATAATTGCACCAACTGCTACGTGTTTTTCTAAATGGCTGAATGAAAAAAGACCAACTGTCATGCCACTTGCCATTCCTATGATATGGAAGGAGCCACGAGATCATACCACCAACTGCTATTTTTGTTCAATAAAAATTGAGGGACATTCTCTAAAGACAAAGGATAAAATAACGTATCCAATTTGTGAATCAGCAAAGTTGCGAGTACCTCACAGTGACAGTCTGTCTATTTCAACTCCACCAAATGTATTCTACCTTATGCCTTCTCCAGATACATCAGACAAATCAAACAAAGAAAATGATAATGATGGCCTTATACCTGAAACGGAATCAGCTCCACATTTTAGTAACCAACAGGAGCTGAGCGATCTAATCAGAGAATTATATCTATCAAAATCAAATGCTGAGGTTCTGAGTTCTTGACTACAAGAGTGACATTTGTTAACACCTGACACCAGAGTGACCATTTACCGAAACAAAGATGAAAGATACTCAAAATATTTCATCAAACAAAATAGTATCACCTTTTGTACAAATATTGAAGGATTATTAACTGAACTTGGATATGTCTATTCCTCTAATCAATGGCGTCTCTTTATCGACTCCTCAAAGTACTCTCTAAAGGCAGTATTAATTCATATTGGAATAATCTTCCATTTTAATAGCTCATGCAGTGGGGCTCCAGGAAACTTATGGCATAGTGAAAACTGTACTTGATTGTGTTAGCTACGCCAATCACAAGTGGATTATTTGTAGTGACCTTAAAGTAATTGCCCTGTTGCTTGGACTGCAATTGGGTTTCACTAAGTATATGTGTTTCCTCTGCCTCACTAAAAATTATTATGTGAAGAAGATATGGCCCAAACATACAGAATATATAGACTAGGATACCAGAACGTTAAACATATTCTACTTGTTGAATAGCTGAAAATTGTGCTTCCTCCTTTGCATATCAAATTGGGTTTGGTAAAATGTTTCATAAAAGCAATTAATAAAAATGGTGCTGGCTTTAAGTCCAAATAAAGTTCTCTCGAATCATTTCTGAGACAAAGATTTAAGGTGTATTTGATGGGCCTTAAATAAAAGAGCTCCTAAAAGATAGGAAATTTGAGGAAACTTTTACACCAACTGAATGCAATGCTTGGCAGTCATTTAAAGCTGTGGTTCATAACTTCCTGGAAAACAACAGAGCAGATGATTTCAAGAATCTGGTAGAAAGTCTTGTGAAGCATTATCAAAAACTGGGTTGTCAAATATCGTTAAAGCTACATTTCTAATATTCTCATCTTGACTTTTTCCCAGAAAATTTAGGTGCAGTTTCAGACAAACATGGTAAAAGCTTTCATCAGGAGATTTAGACCATGGAGAAGAGGTATCAAGACAAATGGAATGAAACTATAATGGCCAATTATTGTTGGTTTTTAAAAAGAGACACTCAAGAGACTCATAAACAACAGTCCAAGCTCACTCATCATTTCTAAACACTTGTAACCATATCTTATTCATGTTATGTTTTATATTTCTTTATA